CTCTCGCAAGAAAAAATACTATATTTTTACATATTGTAAATATTGTATTTAGTGAATGACCTACTAGTTTTTATTAATTGGTGAATAGACTAATAATTTACACCAATTAGTGGAGTCATTAACAAGTTCAAATGTATGAAAAATAAAATTATTAGTAGATCTGAAATACTAAAATCTCTAAACTCTTGAAGAATTAGAGTGACTTTCGTTTGCATCCTTAAAATTATTTTCTTGTTTTCATGGGTTTTAGGTGTGTTTAGAGTTTGTTATTTGTGGATTTTGTGATTTACATTGGGTTGGTATTTAATTAGGAGATCCCAAACAAAGAAGATATCCCAAGTAATCTTGAACAATTTTAAAAAACGTTACTGTGATCGTGTGATTGTTAATGTGATCATGTGACTATCTAATTTACGTTATTGTTTAATTTTGTAGAATTTTGATAGTGACTATAATTGTTACAATAATCGTGTTATTGACTAGCCCACCGAGTGCAGCTCCTTTACAATTAGCGAGAAACAACTTCGTGTATTATTAGTGAGTAATGACATCGTTTAACTTAGTTGGCACAAAACGATGACATTTTAATAGGTTGTACACAAGGAACTAGTTATTTATGGTCAGGGTTAGGGATGTCAGTGGATTGAAGCGGGGGCGGGGAGTGTAGTTTTCATCCCCGTACTCGCTTAAAAAAACTCTGTCTATCTCTGGTCCAACCCCGCTAACGAGTATAATTTTCATCCCCATCCCCGTTTAAGGTCAAAGCTCAAGCCCAAGTAACATAATATAAAATTCTAAATAAATTTAATATTTTAAATAATTCAACAACATTCTAAATAATCTAGTGAATAATCTAGATTACATAATATAAAAGCCAAAACAATATAATATTATGTTTAAAGTGTCATTGGACTACAAAAAGAGAAACGGAACTATTAGAGAGAAAGGAAGAAAAAAAAAATAAAATTGAATTAAGAAAACGATAGCACTACACTTGAAGTTTCCTAAAAGAATTTTTATTATTACAATTCATATTATAGCCATAAAGTGTTAAAATATGAAAATTTAAAATTTCGCTAATTTAATAATTCTCCAAATTTCTTAGTTCAGTCTAGCAGAGAAATTCATCAACCTCCATTCACAATATTTTTATCCACAATAAAATGCAAAATTATCTTACTCTCTCTTATATGTTTTTAGAACATGGTCAATCCAAACTCCTAACAGTTTCAATCAGTAAACACAAATAGAAAAAAGAATAATCAGGGAAAAAAGTTGATAAAATTACCACATAGCAATGCCACTTATTAGTTTAATTACTATATTTCTAAATTAGTAGTTACAGTAAATATGTTTAGTTAAGACTTGCGAGTATATATATATATAACAGGTAGCGGGGGCGGGG